TAGTGTCCTATCCTAACAAAACCATACATCAATGGAAAGCTTGTTTATTCAGCTTTCACATGATGTATAAATCTCAATTTCGAAAAATTGACCCTTATGACTGGTTTTGTGGTCCAGGGTCACATATAGTGCTGTGGTTGAGGTCTCAAACAGTGCCATACATTGTGCAGGTTGTCTCTTCTGGAAACCAATACAGTGACCAGAGTCTTTTTCTTGTTCATCTCTTTCTCCCAGAGTGTTTGAATAGGTTCACCTTTTGAGAATCAAGGAAGCATTGCATTTTAGCTAGACGCCCCATTTTAGGATATCCCTGCACTCTTGAACCTCCTTCAGCCTGTTTCCTTACAGTATTGTGTTGAATATTGTACACTAGCTACTCCTCTAGTCTATTATCCTCTTACGAACATCTGTCTCTATATTTTTTGTATGTCTAACTGTGTACTCACGTTCTAATTAGTTTACATAAGTAGAATTCCTTATTTTTGGTCTGTAATATGAATACGCTAGTTGCTAAACTACCCATTGTGGTAACTACACAGACCATATTTTGGTCAATGTGGTTATAAGGACCAAAAATACTGGCAGGGACTCAGAGGAAAGTCCCAGCGCTAAAATGAAAGGATTTGTCAAGCCCTAGAAAGAGTTTCAAATACATTAAGACTTGTTAGAGAGTTTAACATAGTTTTAGACAGTTAATAATGTAGTACACATTGTGGGTTTGCGCAGGATTCACATGAATCCCATAAAGAGCAACAGAGCTGCCAAGAGCAATAGGAAGATGGAAATAGACATAAAATTTTAAAACCTGTCTGTGTGGGGTCTGTTGAATGATCTGTTTGAACTCACTTTTTGTAAAACGGTGTTCACAGAAACAAGTGCATTTATCTTGTCTGAAAATCATGTTATTTCATTTTGCAAAGCTCATACTAACAGAAATATGTGCTATGAGCTCTCTGTTACAGAGGAGGCTCCCGTACCGCCTCCTCCACACCACCAGAGGGAACCTTTGGATCTAAATGAACAGAAACTGTTAATATGAATGCATAATCAGATTTTATACATTTAATGAATGATGTTAAAAAGTGTCTTAATGCACTTATTTTTTCTAACAGTGACCGAACTCTTCTACTTCTACAGATCCGATAGATGTTTTGCGGGTGCTGCAGTTGCCTTCCCTCCCTGAAGGTGTGCAGAAGGTCCCGGGTTTCTGCACCTCTCGCCGGTCCGGCACTCCTGATCATGCCTACCGCATCACTAAGAAAGCCCAGATCTCTGCCCCCACCAAACAACTATTCTCAAGTACGCTCCTTTAATATCTAATCGTTTTAATAACCGTTAATCTTATAAACCAGACCTGAAGACATTCTATTACGTTCATAGATGCACAATTGTTTTAACATGTTTTATCTATAAAAACACCAGTTACAGTGAAATGTATCTGAAAGCTGCTTATGGTATGTCAGTATGTGTCTGGAATATGAAGGAATTCAAAATGGACATTTAAACAACTATTCTCAGGTAAGTTCTTTTAATATATAAGCGTTTAAATAACCCTTATTCACATAAACCAGATCTGAAGACATTCTGTTGTGTTCATAGACACACAATCGCATAACTTAATGTTTTATCTATAAAAGCAGCTGTAGGATCTTAGTTATATGTATCTGAAAGCCACTTATGGAATGTTAGTATGTGTCTGGAATATGAAGGAATTCAAAAGGACAAGGGTATGATTTGTGCAAAAGATAGGTTCATAATTGAAAGGCTTGAAAGGAAAAGTGCCGAGTCATGTAAAAATTGAAGGCAGCGTACTTTTGAAGATGTTTGTATATATAATTAGGAATTTCACATTTTGGTTATAGAGAAAGTGCATTATATGCATTATATACACACACACACACACACACACATATATATATATATATATATATATATATAGGTATTTCGGTTGTAATTCATAATTTATTTTATTTTTTTCAGTATGAGATTCATTGTCATACTGGTTTCAAGTTTTTTTTTTTTTTTTTGGTCCATGCAACTAAAGTCAGTGTGGTCCATTGTTGTTTTGGAGCCAAATGACTTTCATTATTTGTACAAAAACTGTTAAAACATTCTTTAAAATATTTTCATTTGGTTTAAATTTTTTTTTTTTTTTTTGGATGCGGTTTTAATATGCTTAGAAAGATTACTAGGTCTGGGTGAAAATCATTTTGGTCCCTAACATGCAATTACACCCCAAAAGCAGGATGAGAGCTTTTCAGTAGCTAATGAGATGGTTGCATAGTTAAAACTAAATCTGAACGTTAGCGTCAATGAATTGTGTGCAATTTCTGCAAGTGGATTCATGAATCATAGGTTTATCCCAGACTGCAAATGTGTCTGTGCTTGAAGTAACCTACTTCTTTTGTCTCAAATCTTCATATTTCAATTTTTTTTTTTTTAATTCTTATAGGACGTTTCCCGGAGAACTTCTCCATCATGACTCTGGTAAAGGCCAAGGCTGGTCTTCAGGCCTTCCTGCTGTCCATCTATAATGAGCAGGGTGTCCAGCAGCTCGGTCTAGAGTTGGGACGCTCGCCCATCTTCCTGTATGAGGACCAGAATCGCAAACCCGCCCCAGAGGACTACCCACTGTTTAAAGCGGTCAACCTGGCTGACGGCAAGTCAGTAACCAATGCCTGCTGAGCCCCATCAGCCCATCCAGTTTCAAATATCTTATAATTACTTGTGTGTTATGCAACCCTGATGCTGTTAGTTTCCCAGCAATGTGATGTGTAACTGTTGTTTGAATAGTAAACATCACTTTTTAGACTAAGAAATTTTGTATGCAGGGGCTGAAAGGTTCCTTACAGTCTATATTAATGGCTCTTGGCAAAAACACAAACTATATACAGGAACTCTTTGTGACTATCTGCCCAGTTCACGCACATTAAACCTTCAATATCTCCTCTCGTCCTATAGGTGGCACCGCATTGCCATTTCTGTGCAGAAGAAGAACATCACTCTGATCCTTGACTGCAAGAATCGTATTACAAAAACTCTGGCACGTAGCAACAACCCAGTCTTGGACACCAAGGGCATCACTGTCTTTGGAGCCCGTCTTCTGGATGAGGAGGTCTTCCAGGTCTGGTATACATTGTGCAAGAGATATCAAGGAATTCTGTGAAATACACTTTGAGATTGATAGATGACAATTAAAGGGAGAGTTCAGCCAAAAAATAAATAAATTCTGTCATCAATTACTCATGAATTTCTTTCTTCTGTTGGACATATGAAGATATTTTGAAAAATCTGGGTAAACAAACAGTTTATGATCCCCATTGACTTCCCCATATGACGTTTTCCATACTATGGATGTCTATGGGGACTGGCAACTGTTTGGTTACCCAGATTCTTCAAAATATCTTATTTTGTGTTCAGCAGAAGAAAGAAATTCGTATAGGTTTAGAACATGATGAATAAATGATGACAGAATTTTCATTTTTGGGTGAACTATCCCTTTAAGAAGGGTTACTTTGTAACATGTTTGGAGTTTTTTTTTAAAGATCATTATTTTGTGTATTTGGTGTAACAGAATATGTTGACATGCTTTAATGTTCAAAAAACACATTATAGGAAAACTTGAAATCGCATCATATGACCCCTTTAATTGTCTGCATGAAATGAACTACAATTTATGGTCATGTTATAGGCAAGTGAAATAACAAGAATTGTCATCATGAAATCAAAACTGATCTTATTTACTTTGTTAATACACATTCCTGGACTTTTAAGTAAACCAATAAGTATTTATTTACCAAATTTGACGATGGTGAACATTTTCAAATGATTTCTGTCTTTCTTGTCTTCAAAAAGCTCTTTCAGACTTCTGAAATCTCACACAAATGTTACTGAGAATGTGACATTGTTCAACATGTTTTTACACTGACAGGCCAAATGCTCTTGTTAAGTCAACCTACAAACTAGTTGAGACTGTGAAAACGTAAAATGTTAAGTTGAATAAAAAGTCATAAACTGCAAGTTGCCAACTTCGAAACAACTAAACTATGAAATCATTTTTACAGCACACTCTTGTTGAATGCTCGCTTGACATGATCCAGTCAATTGCTGATGGTTCAAATTAAGTCCTGTCTTACATTTTCTTGTTGAATATTCTACTTTAGTCTAAAATATGTCACATAACGGGGTTGCAAATGTCATTTTATTTTGACTTTAAATTCCTCCTATGGTATAATCAGAAAATCACATGTGAGACAGTTCTGTTGCACTTCACTTATTGCTATTCAAATACAATTTTATTTAAAAAATTTAATTAAATTAAATCTTGCACATACTAAATGCCTTAGTATCCCACATTACCTGACTTTGACCCCTGGTAACAAACTTGATACTTTATTCACATCTGGTTTGTTAAAGTGACATCTCTTCTTTTTCTTTGCTTCTCTCCAGGGTGAGATCCAGCAGCTGCTGATCGCATCCAATCCTCAGGCCGCTTATGACTTCTGCGAGCACTATAGCCCCGACTGTGACTCCCCTCTGCCCAAAGTCCAGTCCCAGGACCCAAACAGCTTTGTGAGTACCACAGCACATTTTTACAATGGGGCAAAGTGTCCTGATGTGAGATATGAAAAGAGTTTCACTAGTAGCAACAGCTCTTAGCTCTTCTCAATGCATCAATGTATGCTAAATGCGACTCATCCAAATATTTGCTGTAGAATCTGCCTTGATTCAGTCATTAATCATGCCATTCAAAAGCTGCAGCTGTATTTGACTTGGATTGGACTTGCGCTAAATGCTTGGATAAATATGGGCCAAGCCAGATATTGTAAATGTTACTCACAAATGCATCTCACATCAGAATGCCAGCTGAATATTCATGAAAATCGTCCACAAAAGTCTAGAATTCTACGCACATTAGTATTATATTTTACCTACACTATATAAAGCCCCTCATGTGAGTCAGATACCCACATCACTCCCCTGCAACACATTTTCATACATCCACAGCTCTTCCACCTCATCAAAGGTGCTCTGTCTCAGTTTCTCATCAGTGCATGTGGCTTTCTTGAGATTTATCTCTTACAAAGTACAAGAGGAATCTCACTGCAAAGTTTAGATCAAATTGGAAACATAGCAACCTAGAGGAGCTTTATTACAGCTTTATAGGCACCATGGTTAAAAAAAAGGTGTTGTAATGCATTACAATGTATTATATTATCTTAATATATTTTAGTATCAGTAAGATTCAAATGTAGTTTTTATTATTATTTTGAGATAGTTATTTTTTTCCTATTTAAAGTTTGTTGTTTGTTATTTTAGTAGTTATTTTCTATATCTATATCTGTCTATGTAGTTTTATTATATTTTAGTTTAGTTTTAATTAGTGCTGTCAAACGATTAATCGTGATTATAAAAGTTTTTGTTCACATAATATATGTGTGTGTACTGTGCATATTTATTATCCATATGCATGTATATATTTAAGAAAAATATGTAATGTTTATATATTAAATATATTGATATATAATATAAATTATATGAATATAAATATATATATGTAAATACATGTAAATATTTTCAAAATATATACTGTATGTGTGTGTCTTTATATATACATAATAAATATACACAGTACACACACATATATTGAGTAAACACATTTTTTTATTTTGGATGCGATTAATCGTTTGACTGCACTAGTTTTAATACATCAAGTTTAGCTAAATTAAAATGAAAATGTTGCCTAGCTAAAAAAAAGTGATGTTATGTTATTAATGTTTTTTTATATTTTATATTATTCCAGTTAATGTTTATTTTATTTCAAGTAATGAAAACGTTTTTTTGTATGGTTTTAGTTTTACTTTTAATTTTTGTTTTATTTACATACAATAACCCTGAGACAGAAATATGATAAATTACTCCAATGTTCAATAACTAGTTATATTTAATACAAGGGCTTTTACCTTTTATAATGGCTTCAAGCACAGCTCATACAATCTGAATTTAGGGTGAAAACTATTTTATAACGTCCGATTGAACTTAAATGCTGAAACTGCATATAATAGCTTTATTTTGCTTACTGCTTACAATATACCCTTGTGTCAGCTTTTCAGATGAATGCATTTGTTTTCTTGTTCATTGAAGTTCTCAGTGTGTTTTGCAGTAATGCAGTAACATCTGAGTGTTACTCAAAGCCATGAGTCTGATGAACAAATGATAAAACCATCATGCTTTCATCTTGCCCTTATTTCTAGTTCCTACATCTCACTTTACTCATCCTTCACTTTTCTCTCCTCTCTCCCTATTATCCTCTCATTCGTTTTCTCTTTCCAAAGTCTTCTTTTTTCCCTCTTGTCATTTGCTCCATTCCCTTACTGTCACTCACAAGGCCTCTCTCTCTCCTTCCCTGCATTCCTCTGGCTTCACTGCTCCTCTCTCTCCCCCCATGTCTCTCAGTACTTTGATGAAGAGCGGGATGATTATGAATCCCCCTATTATTATGAAGGAACTACGAGTGTCCCTCCCTCCGTCCCAGCCGTGGACCCCACCAAAGAGGTAAAGAGGGAGATCGGAAATGGAATCACAAAGTGAATCAGAAAAGAGAGGAGGAGAAAGAGACGGCATGATACCTGATTTAGGATAACTTGATAAGTGCCTGCAAGGCCAAAAAGAATCATATTAACGCTTTAAATAAATGTAATAATATTTTAATCTGCATTTTTGTCTTGTTATCTAAACATCCCTCTGACAAAACAGATCTAACAAAATTTGATGAGGTTTATGCTAAAAAGAAGACAGCAGGGTAAAAAAAAGAAAAGAAAATAAGTCTTGCAGTCCTTTACATTGCTTCTGAAGTAAACATATTTATTTAAAGGAACACTCCACTATTTTTGAAAATAGGCTCATTTTCCAACTCCCCTAGAGTTAAACAGTTGAGTTTTACCATTTTCGAATCCATTCAGCCGATCTCCGGGTCTGGCGGTAGCACTTTTTGCGGTAGCAAGTTTTCGCAACTTTTCATTTTCCGTCAGTCTTAGTACACGTTGTAACTACAGAAGAGTCAAGTTTTAAATAGGAAAAATATCGAAACTCTTTTGTCATTTTTGAGCGAGATGCTAACGGTCTAATCAGATTCAATGATCTATGCTAAGCTACAACTAAAAGGCTACCGCCAGACCCGGAGGTCGGCTGAATGGATTCTAAAACGGTAAAACTCAACTGTTTAACTCTAGGGGAGTTGGAAAATGAGCCTATTTTCAAAAATAGTGGAGTGTTCCTTTAAGGATTATTTAAGGATGTTTACTAGAAAACAAGATAAAATATTTATTAAATTAAAAAAAATATATATATTTTGCAGTGTATACTTTGGTATATAGGCTTTGGTTTTGGGTAATGCATATATAGCAGAAAAATAGACATCAGAATATAGAAAAATCACAATATAGTATGCAAATAAAAGAAATAAAGAACACCAATATGAAGTCAGTATGCAAATATTTCTATGACATTGCTGTGGATTCAAATTTAAATTAAAAATTTCTTTAAATGTATACATTTTACAAAAACCAATTGGACACAGAGAGTTTAATATGAAACTCACCTGTCTCTTTCAATTGAATACGTTTATCCTCTCTTTTCTGTTCACGCCTGTCTCACATTGTCATGTGATGTCCCACCTCTTTCCGTTCATCACCTCGTTTCACGTCGCCCATCACCTGTCACACTATAATATTGATGTTGTCCTTTGTCATATATTTGTACCTGTATAGTGTCAGAATGTTTGTGTTGGTCAGTTCATGATTGTGTGTATGAGGATTTTTAAGGGGCACTGGAGGTTCAACACACACACACACACACACACTATATCACAGATCATGGCCCCACTGTGTTAAACCAACAGCTCTAGAGAAAGAGATGTATTTTAAATATTGATTTACTAAACAGAGAAGGTAGTGTCTATAGATCCAAGTATATATATATATATATATATATATATATATATATACATATATATATATATATACACACACATATATAGAGCA